CATAAAAATGTAACTTATATCTAACTATACAATATAAATTAATAATAATGTATATTAAATTTATAAATTTATATGTAAATTAAATTTATATTAAATGTAAATCAAATTCAAGAATTGAAAGTGTTTAAATTTAAAATTATATAAAATATTATTAATAGATATTTTTTTATTTTTTAATCACAATTTAATATTATTGCATGATTATTAGATCATTATTATTTCTTTTAGATCATATTTAAATTATTTTAATATTTATTACATCATCCGGTTTAACTCATACCGAATCATTGAACCTTGCACATCTCCTTACGGTTCGATTTTCACAACCTTGAATATAATACATGTTAATGTAATTCCTCATCTAGAAGGAAAAAAATTTACATTTTGCAGGTGCGGTACTAACTAGATCATGAGACCAAACCCTACCCTTAGATGAACCCACAAGTATTCAATCTCTCTCTACTGAAGCCTAGAAAGGTTCCCTTAAACCCATATTCCACTAATTAGCCATATATCCAAGCAAGTAATAATTCTTTTTATATTATCCCCTTGGTAAAATACAGTCCAATAGTCTTGAGCGTGCTTGATTAGTAAAATATATTATCCTTTAACTTAAGCATTACTTTAACTCTGCATACGAAGCTTAAGCCCAAGAACCATTCTTGTAATCCCATCAAGTATGTAGATCACTGGCTACTTAGTGGACAACAAATAGTGGTTCAAAGAAGATGATTCACCAACTGTTTGGCATGGTGACCAAGAGTCCCCACCACGCAAGGTGTGGCTCCAAACCCATCCTCAGACACCTATGCATTTTAATGTAAGTTTTCTAGCTTCATCTTACTTTTTACATAAAGAAAAAAAAAATCTTACTTTTTACATAAAGCGTCATGAGTGAAATGATATTAACCAAAATTGCTTTTTATATTGTTAGCGCAACAAAGCAACCAAGGTAAAAAAATAGAATATGAAAGTAAAACAATTTGGATGTTTCAAAGATATCTCAAAAAGAACAAAAAAACTTAGCAATAATACTTACATTTTCTAATATGGGAGTCTCATATAGTTCGACAAACTTCTCCCGGAGTATTCTATTCATTTCATCAACATCACAAGCATGCGTCCAATATGAATCATGAACTCCTGCAATCATTGGAGAACAAACCAACATTAGAAAAATTTCATAACAAGATCGAGCTTTCGGCTATCAACATTAGAATTTTCAAAATGAAATGCCATAGAGTGGGGCATGTTGAATGCAGGAAGAACATAAGAGTGAAATAGATAATCATCAATCAATATTTGATTAAAAATATTAGGGAACCACACAACCGCTATAAATGCATCACCGGAAAAGCATAATCAAACACAAGCAACCTGCAAAGTTTAGTCCTGCCTTCTTGCAGGCAACTGCAGTCATCATCATATGGGATCCATCAAGTGAATGAACAAAATTTGGGGGGAAAGCTGTTCTCTGCCGCTTTACCATGACCTATAAAAAAAAGATAGGATGAAAGACTTCATATGGAAATAAAAAAGTCACTCATTAAGCATTGATCATAAATGTTCATTTGGGGGAACGGGCGCCGGGGGAGGGGATTAAGCAGAAAGTTTACAGTATCAAAGTGAAAAATCAGTACAACATAACTACTTGGAAGAGGGCAGTGCCAACCTTGTCAGTGTCCTGCTGCAAGCTCAAGACTTGAAGTGAAGTTTTGATCTGTGGAATTATTTGTGGTTAGGAATAATTTTACTTAACTTTCCTTTCTTTATTGACAAGTGGTTAGATAAAAGATATTGATAAATAACACAGGAAGGGATACAGCTTACAATATGCCGGCCTATTTTTCGGTAAGGTTGAACAACAGGCAAGCCAAGAGGTGTGGTCCATCTCACTGTCTGATTTTCAGAAGCAATCAACTGTCATGATCACAAGGTTTATTAAGTAAGCCATATTAAGGATAAGGAAAAGTTATAGATAATACTAAATAAGTGAAACGGGGCAATTGAATAATTACAGATGTAAGATTCCTTATGTTTAAGCATGTTTTGATAGGTTATTCTCTATGGCTTTGATACAAGTTTCCTGATTGTTGAAATACACTTGTGGATTATGGTTTCACACAAAAAATTGGATAGGCTTTTGGCTCGAATAGAGCTTGGATCAATGTCAACAAGCAAATTAACAAGCCAAGTCTTCACCCATTAAAAGCCAGGATGGATTAAATCATTTTCAAAAACTGAATGTTTTAATGTTTTATTATACCGATGGCAGATAGAATGTGAAAATTCCATTTTCATATAACAGTTGAAAAACCAACAAAATCTCTAAGAACATAACAATTGATGCCATGTGACTTAGAAATAGAAATGTCATTGTTATTGCAAAAAAATTATTTAATAGGTCATTTTCCTTGTTTCTTTTGAAGCGGTAGTTTAGTGATTAGGTTGCGTAGGGGTACTAGGTGTTTTCCTATAAATACTCTCTTGTTATGTCATAAAGGGAGTTTTTTTATGGCTTATTTCAGGTTTCCTAACTTTTGTATGGAGTTCCCGAAAGTTTGGATTAGATTTCCCTTTACCTTGGAAGGAGGTGGGGAAAAGAAGTCATAGTGGGGTCCAAGAGGCTGCTAAGATTGATTTGCCAAGGCCTTCTCCTTTGGCTGCCCTAGGCCTGGCCATTGATTTCCAAGGCTGAAATGGGTAATCGGTGGCTGTCCAACGGGGCTGAAACAACAATTCCAGCAGCACAGTAGCTGGTGCTTGTCAGGTTCATCTCAGGAAGGAAACGAGGAGAATTTCCAGCAACAGTTCTCTTAGAAATTCATATTCATGTGGGGTCTCCAAGATGCCCCAGTCAACTAATTGTATGATAGCCTGTAACCTATCCATATCTTTAATGTTATTGATTGATTCCATTTATTAAAAATAAAAATAGAAAACTTTCCTCTCAGCTTTCTTGATTTCAGAATAATGCCCTTAAACATAAGGAACCAAGAAATTGCCCCACTTGTATAAAGAAGCGTTGGACTTCCAGCATTCCTAAAGAAAATTACAGCAGCCATGGAAGACGAACAGGCATGAAAGCAGAACGTGGAATTGACAATAAAATTAGTATCAGGAAATCCAAAGCAGCCCAGCAGCTTTTATTAAACACTGATTGATCTACCGCGTATATTCTCTTTTAGCCATAAACAGACAGAAATTCTTAATTCAAGAAAAGACACTCATCCCGTTTTCTATTTTTCACCTATTTGGTTCATCCTAAAGTCTTGTTTTTTTCTGAACAGTTATATACTATAGTGTGTTTTTTTCACTTTGGTAGGTGAGCTGGAACAATTCCAGCCATTGGTTTGCGCAATTTGACAATATGGCGGACGTTCTTTCCTTCAAAACCGCAAGCTGGCACAAGCTGATGTTTTTTGGGAGTGAAAACAAATTAAGAAACTGCCTTAGTTCAACATTAAGGAATGATCTGATCAATTCTTAGATTGTTTTATTTATTTGTGTTATCACTGATGAGAGAAGGTATATCTAGGGTTTCTTGTGCTTCAAAGGGTACTTGGATGTAATTGTGTAATTTGCTTTAATATAAGTTCATTAGTACAATTCAAATCTTTCCAGTCTTATTATTGTTTATAAGTGGAGAAATTATTCCGTGCGGAGTACGAACAGGAACTTCCCGTCTAGATTGTGAGTGTACACATTATGTACAAATTGTGTGTACACAGTTTGAACCAAACTGTATACAAAAATTATACTCAATGTACACAGTGTGTACACTCACAGTCCGGATAGGAACTCCGTACGGAATAATTTATCTTATAAGTGGCATTAAGTATTTTCTGCAGTGAGAACCAACAAAAACCAACATACAAGTTGAATTCTAAATTTTGGACAAATAGTCGGTGCAAATGATGCATTTTGCAGTTCGTCCTGTACTGGTCATAGGCCACTAGAAGCATTCTACTGCAAATTGCTTGACAAAAACTAAACAAATTATTAAAGTCCAACCTTTGCACAATCGCCAAGCCAGGTCATGATAGCACGTGCAGCTTCAAACATCTCCCCCAGTGCAGTCAATGTGATCTGCCAATAAAACATAAATGCATTAGGAATTAGAGCTTAGGCCAATTAGAAAAACCAAAAAACAAGAGCATCGTTACTTACTCTAGCTGCATAGCAAGATGCTCGAAATAATTGAGTATCATCTATAATAAGCCCCCTCTCTTTCAGCCTTCTCTTTATTTGCTCACGTGCACCGATATAGGTAACACCATATACTGATGTCATAACAGTCTGCTTCACCATTTTTCTATCCACCTGTGTAAAGTCAAGTAAAAAGGTCGACCAACAAAAATTCTGATTTTCCTCTACTCATAACAGTTTAGAAGAGTCACTGATGGCTAAACAACAAGTATAAAGAAAGACATGAATCTGATAGGAAATAGTAGGAGAAACAGAAAACAATTGCTTAAATCAGAATCTCAGCAATCTCGCATGACAAAAGAATTGACTGTTTACCCCTCATTGGGCCATACGTTTAAAACAATGACAACTTTATCGAGTGTTATGTACCACCTAGTAATGAAATTATTGCCCTTATTCACAATAAAGCTACATAAATGTTCATATGAATGCATTGCCAAACAAACACTCAATAGGGTTGCAATTCCAATGAATATATTAAACTTATCCAAGCAAGTTTAATAACTTGAAATATGATACCATGGAAACCGGTACATCACCGGCATAAAGCATTACAATGTATCACTTCAAAGAGATCAAAATTATGGTTAAGAAAATTAAAGGGAAAAAACCATACTAACCTGGCCAACAAGTATTCTGGCATGAAAAGCATTTGGATCAATAGCAGGGTCTTTATCTGAATCTCTCAGCATAATTTCAAGCACTCTAATTGAAATCAAAATAACTTTATGAGATCTATTGAGTGGGCTATAAATAAATAAACTTTCATAACATTCAAAGCACAAATTAAGACATATGCAGCCATCAATAAAGAGAAAATACATGCTAGTAAGGGTAATTGTTAAATAGATCAGAACCATGATTTTTCTAGCTAACTTATTAATATCAATCTCAATGTTTGAACATTATGTTGCGGAAAGGAAGATCAAAACAATGATTTTTCAAGCAAGAAAGACAAAGATTGATGGTTACCTCCTTGCTTCTTCAACAACTTGTAGTCCTCCGTCGCAATCCTCTACTCTTTTTTTTCTAACACAGCTGCTCCAATCGAAACCTACTCGCATCTCCCGTCGATTATATCTCCTTTCACATTACGGTTTTTTGTTTAAGGGCAGAGCGTTCAAAGGAGCCAAGGAGGAGGGGGGAGGTCAAATATAATGCTTCAACATTTTGTCATTTCGGGCATTTTAATTTAATTATTAGCTTATGATATGTAAATAAATAAATATTATTTATAATTTCATTTATTCAACTATATGCTAATATATTTAATGAATTTTAAATAAAAAATTGGGATTCTCGTTCATCTTCAAGGACGGTAGAATGTCTTGATTACTAACCCCTAAATAAAAACTAAAAGGAGGGTTGCTAAAATGTCAAATTGTTAACTTGCTCACCACTTAGAGGAAGCTAATATGACAAACTCTTAAAAGGAGCTCAAAGTGAGAGGGTACTAGGGCTTTAATGATAGTAGTTTGAGCCAACTAGCAATAGGAGGAGCTTTCTTGAGAAATTTTTCTCACAAAGAGTATCATGCAAAATTATCTTTCCTATGAAATAAAAAGATCTTGTTAATCAAAATGATTTGTTAAGGACTTTACTATTTTAAGAAATTGTCTATCCGGTCCCTAAGAACATAAGAAAAAACATAAAAAGTACCGATTCATTTTACTTTGGGCACAAAGGCGAGAAGCCTATTGGCCAAAGTTGACCAAAATTATATAAGCCAAAATCCATAGTGAGGTTGTCAAGCAAAGAGCTCTCAAAAGAATCACCAAGAAGGGGTGAGTTCTCAAGGAAAGTCGACAAAGCAACAAATTCCTAAGAAAAAACAAATTCAACTAAGGTTAATCAAAACAAAAGAGGAAAGTTCCCGAAACAATTTGTCAGGACAAAGACTCTTCGAGAGTGAAAAAGTCAACCATAACTAATTGCACTAAAAGGGGTGACCTCAGAGAAATTATAGATAGATGAACTTAGAAACACAATAACTTCCTAAGAATAAAGGAGGCCAAACCTGACCCAAATAAAATGGATCAACCGCCTTCAAGAGGTCATTGAGAGCTAAATTGTCAAGAGAACTTGCCAAAAAATATGATTTCTCAAGGTAAGGCAATAGCACGCCAACTTCCTGAGAAGAAAAAAACTTAGTTGAGACCAATTGGATGATGTGACCAAAGATGACAGGAAAACACAAAAGGGAAATGAATTCCCTAAGGAAATCCCCAAGAGCCAAGTTCTCGAAAATTGATCGGAAATAATTAGTCAAGGGTAAAAATGGGTCATCCTAAGCAAGAGTCAACTGGGGTTTTAATAGTTTTATCAAGTGATGGGTTTGTCTAGGTAAAGTATAATGTTAAATTTTAAGCCTGATGACCGAAAAGGGTTAAACTAAGCTATCGGCCATCTAGTCTAAAGCTTGGGGAAAGGGTTCCATCCTATGATGGTCTTTCAAACTAATCTAAGGTTTGGGTTAACTAGGACAAGGTCTTGAAAATAGACATCACATATAAGTTGACTCAGCATAATATATGAAGGTTTCGTGGTGCCAAATAAGTGTTCATCAGCCAGCTCGCCTATGGACACGAGCAACAATTCTTTGCTACCTCCTCGCATATGACAAACTTGAAACTACATGAAAATCACATGCATACACCCCGATTTATAGAAGCATATTTCTCCTTCATGGAACTTGCCTAGGTATGGATGCGAAAAAAAATATTTTTAAATTCACTAAAACTTCACTCCGCAATGCATGGGTGCAAACAAACTCGAGAATGAATAAAAAATTGAACACGCTAATAACACCAAAAAAGTGCATGGTGAGCAAAAAAAATATACTAGTGACCCAAATACAACTTAATTAATGTCAATGTAAAGTTGTGCACACAACCCTAAGAAAGTAAAATTGTCAATAAGAGCACAAGAATAAAGCCAAGACAATGTTAAAAAAGAGGGGGGCATGTTCTTGGAGGCAAAACTTGATTTAAATATGTGTGCTCTAAACATTCGCACTCGACTCCTTCAAAGAATGCTTATTTTGGGTCAAATTTTTAAAGGCATATTAGGTTGCATATAAGACACTACCCAAAATTTCACTCTCAATTTGTAAGAACTTTAAGATCCGGTAATTTGCTTATTGTATAAATAAACCCCTATGTTTAATTCTCTCTTTCCGTGACGAGAATAAATTATCGATTAGTAGGTGTTAAATGTGTATCTTATAAGAGGGATTTTAGATTTTTTAAAAAAATTATCACTTTGTTGATTAGATAAACTAAGATTCATAACAACTAAGGATGTTGGGTTGTTTACTACCACAACATGACCGAAGGATCCTTGTCGACAGTCATGGGTTTTGTCGTCAAAGGGAGTCTTATAGACTTAAGGCAGATGTTTGTTTAAGGAAACAACTTTAAGTTGACCCTAACTAACAAAGGGCTTTCTGTCATATCAAGTGTACTATATAATTCATTACAAAAGGGATTTGGGATCATGAAGGAACGTTTGGATTATTATCGTGACCATAATTTAAAGGTGTTATTCGAAGGAAAGGGGAAGGAGCCAACGAGGCTCTAGATAGGTGATCTCTACACCTTTTACATAGTCTTTTTTGGTGTATAGTTTTGGATGAATATAGAAAGCTGATTAGTAAACTATAAATTTAAGATTTTGGGTAGGTACAAGATTTATTTGAATTTTTTAGTAAAGTTATGTATTTTGTATTTATGAATATTATGCATGCTTCTGAATACTTAATCATGAGATATAATGTCACAAGTGGATTACAATATGTATAGCAATAGTATGGTTAGATTAATTTTCTACTTGCTTGATCCTAATAAATGTAGTTCATGATGGGCGTTAGTGGAAAGCGTATATGATCAGATTATCCATCTCTGTTATACTTCAAGTTGGCTAAAAAATTCAAAATGGTGTGTGACATTTTCAGGCAGATAAATTATAACCATTCAATTAAATCCAAAATAGAAGGGAAGAAAAGGGAAGCGTTGACGATCCATCATCTACATCACATACTATTTTATATAGGGCATGAGTTTCCGAAATACAACGATCAACATTTAGCACAATTTGATAAGAACTTCAAAATTTTATTTAAAGAAATACCAAAAAAGCACTTTTTGGATTATACAAACAAGCAAAATGACGTCATCTTAAACTTGACAGAGAAAGAAAACATGAATTTTCCAAATATTGCCGATAGAACTTTCTAACTCGGTTACCAACATATTTTTCTTTTAAATCATAAAGGCAAACTGAGAACGGAGTAAAGAATAACAAATAAGGTACAACCTCATACCTAGCAGCTATTTCAGAGTAGACATCCGCAGGCTTTTCTCCATTGACCAAGTTCACCGAGGTAGCCCCTAACTGAAAATTTCAGGTACCAGAGAAGAAGAAAACAAGATTAATAAGCAAAACCAAGTGCTCGGTTAGAAAAAAGCGTTCAAGAACAACATAAAGGGTTGAAAGGATCTCATCTCAACTATGACATGAGACTAGCTGAACAGTTTCCAAGAAGAGAGGGAAAGGGGTGTAGGGGGGGTTATTGACAACCGTGAAAAAGCATTGTTCCTTTCCCTGAAGCCTAAACCTAAAGGGTCTATTTGGAAAAGGGATATTAAGTTGAAAGAAAATGAAAAGAGGGCTGAAAAATCTCAAATCAAAGGTTATTGATTGAGATTCAACCCATAAGCTAGTATTTCATTTTATTTCCTTCACTCTCCTCCAATCCAGACAGCCAAAATGAATTGGAAATCATAATACTATAATTACATTATGTATAGCAAAAGAGCACTCCCTATTCTGGATTGCTTATTTTTAACACTAGGTTTTTTTAACGCATTTTGCCTCTTTAGGCATGTAATGAAAGGACAGATGCAATCAAAAAACAAAAAAAGCCAGACAGAAGCACTTTATATGATCATTATCAATAAATTAAGAATAAATCTGAATGCTTATATGATTATATCTCATAAAGTTTCATATACTTAATTTAATAATCATGCATTCTTTCATAATTTGACAGGGATGGAAAACATAACTTTTTTCCCGCTTTTCTAATGATCTAGTGATGTGTACTACAAGTGACCCATCAACATCCATGAACCTCAATTCAAGATTGCTTTACAAGCCAGCCCAAATAGATGGTAGATGATTCCTTAAACCAAATTTCTGGCTGTATAAGCACTACTCCATAACCATTATCTCGTTCTTATTGACTGAACTTAAAAGTTTAAACATATCATGATCAACAACCAACCAAACATTCAAAATAATACAATTCAGGAATACATACCTTGTCTCTTCCAAGAGCCGCATAATGTTGAAGACCATTACAGGAACCATCCTGAATAAAATAGAATATAAAAAATCAAAGTTAACACAAATGAGTAATACCATATGGCATGCTGAAGATTGGATTAAGCATTGTGCAACAAAATAGAAATAACAATAACATTAATTAAGTAGACAATCTGACAGTGTCATCATTCACCATCCAGGTAGAACAAAACAATATTTAAAACAAATCAAGAATAACTTCCATTCTAGAATTATCACTGTACCTCAGAAGATTCATGGAATATATTTGCATTTGTATTTTGTTAGGTTGAGTCGAGTTTAAAGTGATCAATTTCACACGAGTTTAAAGTGATCAATTTCACACGAGTTTAAAGTGATCAATTTCACACAAATGATATTAATGTTGACCTCTATGTATTAACCGGTAGAACAAAAAAAAAATCAAAATCATACCCAGCGGATCCACAATATCCGCCCGAAATCCCGGATGGAATCCTCGTATCCGTCGAGAAGCCGTCCAAATCCCCGAAATTCCGCCGAGGTACTGTACATCAGCGCCGAATCGGTCGCTTCTCCGTATTCCCTGCGTGAAATCAGCTCTCGATCGTAGCCCCGTTCTCGTCGTTAAATACCGAACCAACACAAGCTTTTGTTCTCGGCTCTTCTCCCGTTCGATCCCACACGACTCTCTCCCACTGCCGAGCTCCAGTCGCTACTCCTTCCTTCCCGCACTCAAGTCCCGAGCTCCTCCCTCTCCCGATCGCAAACCCGACCAAGCTCCTCTAGATCCCGTCTCCTCCCTTCGTCTCTAAGCCGCAGCAGACCCGAACTCCACCTCTGCTCTCGTCGATCTCCATCCCGACCCCATTGCTCCTTGAACCGAGAGAGAGAGAGAGAGAGAGAGAGTTTATAAAATTATATTAAGCAGCAATGCGACATTGTATTAATGTGTTATGTAATCATGAATTAATGTGTGTTAGTGTGTGTGTATATATATATATATATATATGTTCATTTACCATATATCAAAAATGGAATTGATTTCAAGCGAGCCGTCTTTCAATTTAGAGCAAATCGATTTTGATTCGACTGAACTTCAAGCAAGAATCAGGTGAGTTTTAAATTTCAAACATAATCAGTAGCCCTAGGCAAGAATCACTGGGGTATGTACAAACACCCAAGTACTCTGTTAAAAAATGGAGATGGAGTAGCGGATCATTAACAAACAACTAAAAGATGTCAGGTCACCTGATGAACAGGTAAGTGTGAAATTGTAGAGCCTGGAGCTGGATTTCTTAATGCCTTAGCAAGATGTTTACAAACAGCCAGACACTGAAAGGGATCTTCAGCTCCTAACCACCACCTTCTACCTTCAAGTGGTCTATCTGCAGAGTCAAATACATCCTCCAAGTGATTTTCAGCGAATGCTATGCGTCCATCAAGTGACAATTTGTCCACACCACCGGCATATAGATTAGCGAGATGTATCTTCAACCATCGCAACCCTGAAATTCCAAGAGGGCGTCCCTCCGCAAACTCGAGAATTCCTCTACACAAATCAGAGCCAAGGTGATTTAAATATGGGTGCATTGGATATGCACGACCTCTAAAGTCAAGGTTATGAGGGTAGTAGAAGCCCTCCTCCTCTTTCATCTTCCTAGCCACCTGCCCAGAGTACAAAACAACATCAGAGATCTTTTATGCTTAAGGCTTTGTTTGGGATGACTTTTTGCTGCTTTTTAAAGCAGCTTTTTTTAAAAAAAATTTAATTTTGTATTAAAAAGCTGTTTTAAAAAGCAGCAAGAAAGCCGTCTCAAACTAAACCTCATCCTGCAGCAATAAAATTAAGGAATCTCTTACAGAAAGTTTAAGTTCCACATCACACCGTTGAGAATGCATTTCGGTATTCTTCTTTTTGGCCGAGTGCAGTAACCACTTCCATTTTTTAATTTCAGACTCATCTTCTGTCTCAGGCTTGTCTGGAAGTGGGATCTATACATAGAAATAATGATTTGCTGGAAAATCAGATGACTCAAAAACTAGAAACAGGTCTAACAGAATGATTAATTTCCAAGATGGTTCTATTAGAAGCAGATTGTAGCATGCAAGAAACAATAACAGCTCGAGAACCTATCACAAATAGTGAGCAGAGCTTACATTTTCACGATCAACCAAATCAGCTAGGCGACCTCCACTAGACCATATTCTGTCAACGACGTTAAGGACTTCCTTGTTGATCCTCCATTTGGTATTGCCAAGTGTATTCAAGGCCTGATGTAAGTAAAATCTTCTTGATGAAAAATGAAAAGCTAGTTCTATTTTTTTTAATCAATATTATTTTAAAAAGACAGTAGCAAAAATGTCATATTTTGGTTTGAGAAATAAAAGATAATCTGGAAAATACTAAAAAAAGTATGATAACTACATAAAAATGAATGAGAAGGCACACACATAAATTGGAAGGGCAAGAGGAAGAGAGTTAGAGAGAATGCCAGAAAAACAGAATGCAGTTTAGACCTCTATTCCCGGTGAAACAAAGTCTCAGAATAGGCAAGTGCAGAGTCTTTCAAATGGCATTGGAAGTTCAGGAATGAACAAACTGGAAAATAGTTCATTGATCCAGAAACATGACATGAACTGCAGCTCATTCCATGGAGAGATAGAGACAGAGAGTTACAAACAAAATAATAAGTTTGTCAAGTAAATTTGCACAAGAAGTATTTTTTTATTCAAGATAATGAAAGATATATCGAAGAACATTCTTTCATCACCAGCAAATACATCTTTATCCAAATGATAAGGGATCATCTTTTTAAACCCTTATTTGCCATGCGTTTGGTGTAAGTTTTAGTTTCATTTTCGTTTTGATCTATCCCCTTCTTCTTCCCTGCAATTTCATGGTAAAAAAACCTACATTCCTAGTCCTAACACTTCTGCCCATCTTACATGGCTAAATTTACATTTTGAAATACCACTTAAAGAGTATACTGAAGGATCTAATTCAAAAGATATACAGCATTGTCAAAGTATTATTAAATATCATGTATATATTGGGGTTGATAAAATGTTGAAAATGCTCATGAGGTACTTTTGCATTAGTTTATTTGCTTTAGCTTTATTAATCATTTTTAACTTAAAAACAATATTGATGAACCTCAAAAATTGGTTGCAGCTGATCTCTTGAAGTCCTTTTAAATGCTTCACGTTGTTGCCTGCATCCGTGAGTTCTCATGATGTAAGATGGCAAAAACAGATGTGCGCCTTTATCATAACTGCAAAAGATCTCATGAAAATATTAGAATAGTAAAACAATAAATCAGCAAGCTTTTCTTTGAGTAGAAAAGATAAAATCTCAAAAAACTGTGCACTTTGCTGAAAAAGAGACTAAGGTTTTGTTTGGGACCACTTTCTTGCTGCTTCTTAAAGTTTTTTTCTAGTGCAAAAATATTAATTTTTATACTAGAAAGCTGCTTTAAGAAGCAGTAAGAAAGCCATTCCAAACGAAGCTTAAGCAATCAAATAATGCATGAAAAGTTTGCTTTCATCTATTAGTGAATATACAGGTATTGCAAGTTGTTAGTGTTCACATTTTCTAGTCAAAAGATTTATCATTCAATGCAGAAGAGCTTAAATAAATTGAGAAGATAGAAATTCATACCCTGACCAAATTACTGGAGGAACCAGCATTGGCATATATGGCATCACCATGTGTCTTGCCTATAAAAAACACAGCCTTAAAAACATCCCAATATAAAAGAGCCTCCATGGTTCTTACAAAAAAAAGCCAAAGTGGGAGATTAAGATGATTATAGATGCAAGCAATGATGAAAATGCACTTACAGTTCTGTCAAGCCCTTCATAAATTAACGGATCGCATTCAATAACTCCATACCTTCTACATAACTTCCTATGGTTTCATAAGTAAATGAAAACTCAATAAAAAAAAAAATCAAGAGCGAAAAAATACTATGCAGAACTTGTTTAAAAAGTAAAAACACTTACTTTTGCTCCCTTCTGAAATTTCTAAGTGAGTGTCGAAATGCAGGACGAACATCTGTATGTCCATCAGGTGACTGACTGGCAGGAGGTTGTATGTAAGCCGTCTCAATCAACAATTGGATCAATCGACTTCCCACCTAAATTAGAGTAAATACAAAGACCAAAGCTAAGGTGAGGGCCTAAGACCATAGGGCAACGCAGAAGAAAAAGGGAATACGAAATTGCCAAGCTGGAGGTAGGATCTGAATGCAGACCTTGGCCTGAAGATCCAGGCCCCAAGGCCTAGAATTGTCCTGTTCCTTAGCTATCTTCCTTACTAAGGGTAGTTTTTGCCTTTTGATCAAATTTGTAACCTTCTTCCTCAGATATTCTTGTTCTTTGGTTACGTTATCATCTTCTATGCCTTCCTTTTTCTTCTCCCTCTTAGTCTTTTTTCTTGTTTTCTCCAAAAGTTTCTGGATCTTAGCCTGATCCATGCCAGTAATAAAAGCAAAAACACTGCATAAATTACTATCCAATTCAATAACTCAAATGTAAATTCTTAACAAAGAACTGAAAATACTATATGAATAAAATATATGATAGAATGCAAGACATGTAGGATGATTTAGTCATCTAGAAAGAGAGGAGTGTGGCATACTAAAGTACAACAGCCAGACTATGGAACTACAAGATTTCTAGTTTCATTAATATTCAACTGAAATGGATTCACAACCCAATAAAAATCACATACGAATATATCAAAATATACTTAAAACATAATCGTTAAGATACTAAACCAAAATTGGATGGTTCTAGCGGTAACTATAGAATATGAAGTTTGTAAACTTGCACTTTTCATCAAGATCTGAGCTTAGAAATCCAGTTAAATTCCTGAACAGATGAAAACATAGTTATGCCGTGCAAACTTGACAAAGCAACCACATATTGTGAAATCTCTTTACAGTGAAACAGAACTCTTAAACTTCAAGGCATTTCTAGAAAGTTATCTTAAGAGGACAAAGTGGTGAGATTTGTTAAGCTAATACTTGAACCTATATATCTGGTGGATAATTCAAGCCTATGTGTAATCCTACGGACAATTAAATCAATTCCTTAAAACAGGAATTTCACCATCCAATTGTCAGATCTCTTAAGTACAATGAAGCATAAGTCCTAAACATCAAGGTGTGAAGGTTGGAGTTTCACCATGAACTCCCAAAATTAAGCATGCTCACGCTAGAGTACTCCAAAGATGGGCTATAAGGGAATCATCCACTCTTAAACTTTGCTCAATCATGCCAAAAAGCAACTAAGACCTATGGTAGCCACAAGCCACATTTGAGCATTTGAAGGAAGCCCAAAAATCAAATAGAAAATTGTGGTGTGTGAAATAGAAGGAACTCAAGCTGGGGCCAATAAATTAATAAATTGAAACGGATCAAACCAATAGGTTAATCCTAACAGATAAGGTCACTCCTTGTATATTAGGAATTCAAAACTGTGAGGCTGTTATCCACATTCATATGGACCATAACCCTTAATATAGCAAAAATTGCAAAGCATCAAACAAAAAGGAGGGATTTAGAAATGAGGAAGAAATCACTCACTTCCTGTTCAAGTGCCTCCCCAATCTTACACGCAGCGGTAACAACAAGAATACTCCCACTTCCATCTCCAGTCATCATTAAACCCATCATCTTATGCATTGTGATGACCGCCATCATATCTGCAGGAAGAAGATTAAAACAAGGAGCATAAGGTGTGCGACAATGTACATCCTTGCACAGCTCTTGCTCCTCAGCAATCTTATCCCTCAGAGGTTCAAACCAACCCAAGAACAAGGACTTCACATAAGGCAAATTTGGGGCAAGCTTCTTCTTGCACATCTCCTCCAATAGCTCCCTGTACTCCTTAGCAGCTTGCTCCCAAGCCTCCGTTTCAAGCTTAATCTGTCTGCGACGGAGCCTGTGGAACTTACGCGCGCTCATTAAAGCAGCCTGCTTTTTCCGTGCACTTTCTTCCGAACTCTCGATTGTTTTCAATTCTACGCAGGCTTCGACGTCTTCGTCAACGTCGGTGGAAACAACTTCCTCGGCGACACTAGCAAGACCCCTAATGAAGCCGGGAGGTTTTGCGATCGGGCACTTCAGATCATCCAATGCAAACAACAAAAAACGATTTTTTTGGCTAGAGAGAGAGAATTTGAGGTCCAATATCGCTTTTTTACTGCATGGGTATGGCTCTCGAGTGAGACCAATAAAGCTGGAGATGCAGCGATAGGAAGATCTTATTAGGTTTCGGGAGTGGAGTGAAGTTCTAGCGGCGAAGATCAACCACATATCTTTCGTGGGAACGGGGGTTGGGATCGAGTGGGGATTCGGAGCTTTTGGAATAGAATTTGGAAGGGAAAATCGAATTCTGATGGAACAGTTAGCGATAAGAATTAAGCCTGTGGATTGGCGGTTTATCGAGGGGGGTAAGGGCTGCGGGATTCAGCGAATGGAAGGGCGGAATTCATGAGAGATGCTGCAAACAGGGGAGCTGGCGGGCTCAGTCGCTCAGAGAAACAAAAGTTAATAAAACCCTCTTAAAACCTCCTTCGTCGTGGATTAAAGCTTGGACTCGAGAATTCATCATACTTTCAGGGTGCCGGTCTTTTTAGGTTGGAAGAAGTTCTTTTCAATTGTAAGCTGTATAGATGCATTGGTTAAGACCTTGTAAATTTGTATCTGTGACTAGAAATTGTGATTTAGGAAGGCCAAAGAATGGTAGAGAGATTGGAAATTTTCAATTGTAAGCGTCAATATAAGAAGTCTCACTCGAAAGATTCATGAGATTTTATACAAATCTAAAAGGCTTCAAATTTATTATTAATGTACAAATTTGATCAAATTGGGTGAAGTAGGATCGGTAGCACCCATTCTTTCTACAAAAACTAGCAATAGTGACAATCATTAATGCCACCTACTTTTAATCCAAAAAAAAACTATGAGATTATTGCCTTCTTAAGCATTACTAATAATCAGCATCAACTAATTTTTTTTAATCTCTAACCATCTCAATAACAATGGCAAGAGAACCACCACTTTTTGTTTGTTATGGATAGAATGAAGCTTCATTGAAACGTTTTATCAAAAGCCCAATTTTGAGTGAATGATTAGCTCTCCTAGATCTAGTGGTCAATATCATGAGCTTGGTTCAAGTTAATTCAATTTTGTTCGTATATGGGCAAAGTAAAGTTTTTTGTTTAGTATGTACTTTTGAGAATTAAGTGGATAGGATCACAATCATGCATAATATGAATGGTGTCTTATGCATCTCTGCATGCAAGGTGGAGAACAAGTGGATGAGACTATTAACCCCATGAGCTTAGTATACATTATATATGGTGATTCATATAGTGAATGTGCTTGTGTTTATGATTACACTATTTAAACCACTTTCATAGAATTGTGATTATCTTTTTCACCAACATCTCATGTGTAGAGTTACTTTGTGATGTTTTTCACCATGCAAATTTTATTACTTGAGATATTTATCATTATGCTCAGATCTTAATCATTCATTTTTGCTAACAATATCATATATTATGCACGTTTATAAACATATTTGTTTGCAACAATAATGTCAACATTACTTTGAAACTAAGCTTATTCTCATAATCTTGCATATATTAATCTTTTTCTTTGATTCCTAGCCCACTCCAAAATTTTAAACATTCATCCTTTTTCGATTTCTATTTTGAAGGATCCTTTTTAGCACAATAAGCTAGAAATTATATCCTTGACAGTAAACTATGTGAGATAGAAAGAGGCCTTAAAATAACTAAAGGATTTTCCTTGTACTAGAAATAACTATAGGAGGAAACCCTTCAATTAAAGGATTTGTTTCTCATCAAGGAAAAAAATTATCATATTTAACTCTAATTGGTCTTTTTAGTGCAACCAATGGTCAAAGCATAATTTTCCTTCCCATTTAATCAATTAATATGATTGATTATGAGAATTTCCAAAGTCAACCCAACATTAAACTCTCTAATGTACTATAAATCTTATAGTACCATTTGTTGATTTTCAAACAAATGATTTTGTTGCCTAGCCAAATTTCTTCTAATAAGTTTAGACCATTGAATAATCTTAGCATAGTTGTTCATTAGAATAGGTTGAACTTCATTAAGCCCTAGCTTTACCCAATAGAACCAAGTTAAGTTAAATTTAGCTTAAACTCAAAAATAATTTGGAATTGATATGCATGAAATTTTTCTACGACATCATAATCATATAAATACTATATCTCACAAGCATAATAAAATCAATACAAAAATGTAGCAAATGCAAATCCAAATTAATATTAAAAATATTCACTATGCATAAAAATCAATATTTGTCAAACCAGTGAGATATCCTTCATTTTGTCCTTACATTTCAAAACATAATATATTGAATGAAAATTACCACTTAAATGTAAAACTTTCCTTTTAATCGATTGATGTGATTGATTATGAGAATTTCCAATGTCAAATGAACATTAAACATTCTCATGTACCTTAAATCTTATAGTAACATTTGTTAATTTTCAAATAATTGATCATATTTCCTAGCCAAAATACTTATAATAAGTTCAGACCATTGAATATAAATGGCCCAAACATAGATGTTCATTAGAATAAGTTGTACCCTATTGAGCCCTAGCTTTACCCAATAGAACCCTACTAGGTCAAATTCAGTTTAAACTCTAAAAATAGAAGGAATACATATTGGTTAACCCTTTCTAGGCCCTAATAGATTATTGGAAACCTCATAAAACTAAAATAATCATTCTTGAGTTCTAATTGGATACCTTGACAAAATAAGACCAAAGCAAATCCATTTACCTTCATAAGACCAGTCCCTTTAATTTAATTAGCTATGGTGATTACAATCAATAAACCATAATAGTTTAGAAGAACTCGTTATAGGTGACCAAGACTTACTTGTATTTTATTTGGGTTGATTAGCTCTAATTTTACCCAACCAAGCCCAATTAAACCCAGAAGGAATTTTGAACTATTTTGTGACAAATTCAAGCCCAATTGATTTTAATGGAACCAATTAGTTTTAATTAATTGTTTCAATACTAATTAAGGAAAATTGATCATTAGATGCACTAAATCCAATTAGATATTTTCCAAAAAAAAAAGATTATAACTCTTAAGGGGATCCATGCACAATTGGATACTTTGAATAGACCATGTCAATCTATTTGACCATGAAAGGTTAAAACTAGTATATTTGATAAACCATTGACTCAAGTGGATGTAGAACCTCTCTAACTCCCAATCAAAGGATTCTCAACCCTCAAAAAATATTTTTAAGTGAACAAAAATCCTTAATCTCAATTGGCTACATGGTTTGGCTAATTTGTTAATCTAAAAATAAGGTTTGACCCAAGGTAAACCATTCATGGGTCAAATAGATCAAGCTAGCATTATCCTTCAAATTAGGTAATTAAATGGTTCTTTAGCTTATAATATAATGTTTTTAGATGAGACTCATCCTCGTATAAGCATATTGATTCATAAATTGAGCCAAGTAAGCTTAATTGACCCGTTTAAATTCGAAAAGGTCTTAAATCAAAATGGTTTTAATCAAAATGAGCCTAATTCCTTGAACATGGAACTATTAAGAGTAAATGTGACATGTCCTAATCTTGGTTAAACTAACTTGACCAAGGTTTGACCATGATTAGTAATGAAAGTCAAATTTATCCATTAATGGGAACACTTACACTTTCTAAGGTGATTTATCCCAACTAAACCACCAAAAATAATCAAACCATTGGAGAGTCAACTTCACTAGGGATGTTAGGAAGACAACCATAACTTGTTTTAACTCATTAAATCATCCAAGTTGGTCAATTTAGCAAAATAGGCCAACCTACCCATATAAGACCCAATTAGGATTATCTAATTTAACCTTATCCAAATAAAGAAAATTAACTGGAAATATTTTTCCATTTAAAAGCTAAAATGATATAAAAATCCCCTTAATAAATTTCACCTAGGTTAAAAAACTTAAATAATGGTCAATCATGGGCAAAAGTATGGTAAATAGATATTAAGGTTTCGTTTGGGATGACTTTCTTACTACTTCTTAAAGAAGCTTTTTAGTACAAAAAAAAATTAATTTTTGTATTAAAAAGTTGCTTTAAGAAGTAGTAAGAAAAGCCGTTCCAAACGAAGCCTAACACAAAGTATAAGTGTTCAATAAGAATCTTCCAAGTTCATACTATTTCACACCCTTCTCTGACAACTCACCAGCCATCTAATTCACTTGATCAAGGTAGATGGCAGCTAAAGAAACGCTAAAGCCATGGTTGAGCTCAACCAAATGGTTATAAAATCATACAACCATACGCATTGGGAGAAAGACTTCATCTTAATTAAGCTTTTACCAACTCACCCACACCCTTGTTACCTCCTTTAATAGCTATTAATAAGCTCCACCCATCACCACCAACAAAAATATCAAGCCTTTATCTCACTACATGGGGTCGGCTACATGAATCCTTTTTCTCCATTGTAATCTATTAAGAGTCAATTTCTCATTTAAATCTAATAAAAATGTCATTTCTAATATTTTATAACCAACTCTTTTTGGTCTAACTCTACCTCTCTTAACATAGGTTAAATCTAATACATTTATTCTCATAATCATATCATCAAAAGACCGATATTTTATGAGACCAAACCATATAAGACGACTCTCTAATCTCATATGCCACTGGAGCTCTAGAACATTTCACATATTTGCTCGTTTTACATTCTATCTCTAAGACTAATGCCACTCATCACTTGAGCATCTTCATCTCTACAACACTTAAGTGTATGCTTCTCTTTTTGTAATAGTCCGTATTTTGATTCTATCAAAATATTTTTTTTTCTAGAGTAATTATAAGTTCAAATAAAAAAATTGTATTTGCCATAACATAAATATTATAGTGTTTTAATTACATAATTTTATTTCATAATTTTTTGACACTCATGGAAATACTTAAGAAATTGATATTTATCGATACAAGTGAAGATTTTGGGACCATCAAGTGTTCATTTTGCAAACTAATTTCACCATAATTTATTTTGTATAATTTTTGAAGACTCAAAAGGATTTATATGAATTTTATACTAAAAATTAAACAAATTATATATTTAAATAAATATTATATTATTATGTTATTATAAATATCTTAAAGCATTACCTAAGTTTATTTAATCTCATTTCCTTTATTGCAGTCAGCTAACAGAGAAGAATTAGGAAAATTGAGAATGAAATATAGGAGAGAGAAAATAAAGCTAGGATTTAGTAGTTGTAGAGAGATTTATATCTATCAACTCTATTGGGAGATTTACTCGTCTCGTTGTAAGAAATTTATGTCTTATTTTTTATTTTAATAATTTTGTATTTTTTAAATTTTTTCAATCAAATTTGTATTTATGATACCAAATAATGATGATAATTTTTTATATGTAAAACTTTCACCACATAACTTTTTATATGTTATAGTGATTGAGATTATGAATATTTTGAGTATTTATTTAAGATTTTTTCAATTTGATTTTGAAAATGGACTGATTTTTATCTATTCAAAAAATTATATTTGATGTCTAAAAATAGTGCTTTGGTTCAATTAAGGTTTTAGAATGTTATTTTATACAATATCTAGTAATTTGATAAATTTTAAAAAATGTCATTTTTTGTTCAATAGTACT